TGGGTCACTTATTATTCAACGCAGATCATCTGCGTTGAGAATCAGCATTGCGTTTTTGTCGATTTTCTATCACCTTCAATCTGTTTGCAATTATCGGCCGTACCCATAAATGTGATCAGTCAATTTGGTTTTTTCCTGTGGAGGAAGGAATGCAGTGTGATTAGTGCAAAAAGTGGTTCCACTAGGTATATACGCCTTTAAATCCCACCACATACAACTTCTATTTGTTTCGTATGATTCGATGTTACAGTAAGGCCGTTTGGTTGACAAGTCTTTGATAGACTCTCATGTCGATTGACAGAACACACCACCAAGGTCTCAAAGGGAAACATCTTTTAGCCGTAGCGCAACTAGAAAAAGCTTGATTTCAGCGAACATTATTGTGAGTAGTTTGCTACAATCCGTCACCTTTGATCTAAAAACGACTAAAGAAAATTCTCAGTAGTTAATACACAGGAAATGGCCACATAATCAACAGCCGTGAACACAGCATTCAAAAAAGTTAAATTCATTCGTAGCCTAATTTTATGTAATTCAGAAAGGTCAAAGGAAAATGACTCTGGTAAATTGCATTAACATGGTCAGCAGTTATTGGAATCCTTCATCAGAAATGTGATGCCAGAAGAGGTTAGTGAAGTACATATAACTAAAATGTATATGATATAATATAGTAATATATTTCTGCAAGGGCATGTACATCTACAAATTACAATATTTATCGGTTCGCAGTATGCATTCCAAGCAGGGTTGTTACATAAATATAATCTATAAAAGTGAATATAAGTTCATCCCTTTAGATATACTGATTAGTCTTCAAAATATTTTCCAAAGTGGCATCGCATATGCGTTACACACCAGATCTAATCTCGGCACGAATTTGTTAGGATTTTGGTCGCACCAAGTATTTATGCAATGCAACTTTTTAAGTTTATATTTGTTTTAAAGTAGACTTGTAGAGCGATTGGTGTGGACTAGGACCTAGGGAAAACACTTAAGTCTGGTCTGTTTCACACGTCAGAAGTTACATATCTGTTCCCCCAGAGCAAGATTCTGAAAAAAAGAGAAACCGAGGAGCAGCAAGGCTCTTAGATATGAACGATAAACAATACTTAACATTTTGTAGTGGAACAGACAGATATATTATTAGATTAAATTCATACTAGCTCTTGTGGCTAAAGTGAAATGTGATCAGAGTCTCCAGATGAGAGAATGTAGTAATATAGAACGGCGGTTTGTGATATTTACCAGGATGGAGTAAGTTCAAATGAAGGAAGGGAAGTCAGAGTTGGAATAAGGAAGGCTGTTAATTAGGACAGAAAGTGTATATAGCGAGTACAGTGTTAAGAAAACTAATAACTGTCTTTTACCATCTGATTTTTTTCCATCCGATGCCTGCCACACAGTCTTAATGTAAATGTCCGAGTTAGCATGTTATAGGCTGTCTTAGTAGAATAGCTAACCCAGCATAAAATTAGAAACATGGGTTTGAATGGTGAGCGTAGGAGAAAAACCTCAATATAACAGATTGATATGAGACTTGGTCGGTGGATTGGAGGCATGACCGAACTAAAAAGAATCTTCAAGTTAGTACTGAGAAATTACCTGAAAAGTGAGTTAATACCAAACAAAGAATACAAGACTCGTAATTCGAACATTCGTCTACAGCCAGATTGGCCAATTGATGATATGAAAGAAGCTCTCACTGAGTTGAATATGGAGAGCCAAATGGCGAAGCAAACCCTTAGATTTGTAGCGGTAAATAAATCCCTGAAAAAATATTTCTATAAGCCTTCAAAATTAATGCTGTTCTTATTAATTTAACTGGATACCCCTGGTTGAAGACGTTCGGCCACATATTCGCATCAGATCACGAACGGGTACGCCGTGCTACGCATCCCTTGTAACTGTCAGCCAGCTTAGACCAAATGATTCCCACATATTGAAAGCCTCCCAAATATATCTTCGAATCACTTCATCTACGATTTCTGATTTGAATAGGTTGTTATCGTTTGATAAAAATGTGTTACGAGTAAAGGTGTTGTCAAATTCCAAATTCATGTGGCATCTTTAGATCCAGGGTTTTTAAATAATCAGGCCCTTGAACTCAATGCTTCAGAGACCTGAATGAGTGAATCCCAAAATACCATTATTATGTGACACACAAACGCTTGCAGTTTTAGAAATAAAACCTCTGAGTTAGACTTGATGATAGATGAACTAATTACCGATATGATTTTCGTCACATAAAGGTGGTTAACCAAAGATGCATACCATTCTCTAAACATGTCTAAATCATATCAAACTCTTAGTTTCGTTCCCCTTTTTCTTCTTTGAAGTTTTATGAAATGTGTCTTTCTAACTGTATGTCCCTTCTTAATTTTTACTTGAAGTAGACAGACAACTCACTGGATTATATATACTACCATAGGGCCAGTGAAATTCAACTGAGCCCTAGTCAAATCATTCTGCAGTTGAATCATTGATTATCGAACAAACATCGATACTTGCCAAGGTCAAGGACAGCCAACGCGCATCAGTTAATCGTACGCCATGGACTTGCCGATGCAGCGGTGGTCTTATCTTCGCTTGTATCTACTTTAACTAATATATTTCTGTAATAAATTCCTCTGTGTTGTACATTATTCAAAGCATCTATGGTACCTTGATACGGCAATCGGGTAGTCCATGTAAGGTGCTGGCCACGAGGCGTGTCTTCGACGTTAGCTGGTTAGTTACATCATTCCCGTGTAACTGGAGTAGGCCTCCAATAATTTCGACATAGTTCATCTACGTTGGTGATCTACACTACTCAACTATAGTTGGCCACAAGGACTGCTCATTACTATTCTAAAGCACTGCCAAGAGAACCTAGCATTTTTTCTACTACTGCCAGTGGCCTAGCATCTATGGGCCTGTAAACCTTCAACCGGTTAGGTTGGCAAACAAAACCATCAGCGTCAAGTTAACTGTTACATTACTACTCTTTTATTGGCGTTTCTGAACACTTTACTCTCCCCTGATGCACCTTTGATTCCATTGAACAAACTACTAGGTTCTAACTTCGTCATTACCTCCTCCAAATGAACCCGTTCCACCTTGTTACACGTTACAACACATTGTTCTTTGTCACTATATTCTCTTATCTGAAGACTGTTTAACCACATTTTAGCCTAGTTATCGAAGCTAGTATGAGTTTTATCTACTAATTTACCATACTTTTGTTTGTTCTACTACAAACCATTTAGCGTTGTTAAGAGTTTATATCCGAATCCACTCCTGCTAATTTGGTTCTTTTTTTCCGCCGTCATGTTTTCCGGATCTTACCTGTAAACCAATGTTCAAAATTATTAATCATGCCTGAAAAATGGCATGTCTGTTCTGTCTGGAATATAATATCACTATTATATAACTGACGAAGCTCTTCAACTAATTGTCAACCTCTGGCCTGATAAGACATTGGGTCCTGGTGGGTTGCGTCCACGACGGCTATAAACTCTCACAGATTTTATTTCAGGACTACTCACAATGTTGTTCCCAGGAATTGGAGAAATGCCATAGTTATTTCCATATTTAAATGTAGACAGAGATAGATCGTGTCTAACAACCGACCTCACAGTCTAACCACTATTGTAGTTACGTTACTTGAAGATGTAAATCGGATTAAATTACTAGGTTACATTAAACCATACAGTATGTTCAAATGGTTGTGAACAGAAAAGAAGAGACTTTACCTTAACGGGCTTCCGTGTCTAGTAGCAGTGGATCACCAATACCTCTGTAGAATTATGGTCTACTATGATATTAGTACTGCTCAAATAATAGACCTAATCCTAAATTTGTAGATTTGTCATATAACTGCCTAATCTATAAGATCTTACGTGGAAGTCACACCATCGACTACACCAACTCACTGTATCGCATCAATTACCAATACATGATGTAGAACAAGGTTAGGCTAGAGAAAGAACAATATATTTAATATGAATAGAAGATATAAGATAACATTCAGCAGAGACCACGCCTGCATGGCCGAGCCATGCCACTCGATCAACTCCAGTCCATTCAACTCCTTATTCATGCCTTCTCCATCGTTAGGTATTTCCCCGAGTTAAATATTGAATATCTATTTTCTGAGTAGTCTTGTGTTCAGCTTTGAAGATTGTGTGGTTATGGTCCAATGCCACTACACCTCCAAGCAGGGACACGAAGTGCGCCCACTCCTGAGCAGCACGAGTTTGTAATAAGAATTTGTGCATGAACCAACAGAGGACGGGAAAACTTCACGAGATAACGGTTTATCTTTTGATGTGCTATTCATAGATCTTAGAAAAGCATTTGATAAGGTTTCTTACTTAGGTCTTATGAAGGGGCTCCTAAATTTTGGGATGAAAGGTGCTTACAAGAATGAATAAGAAACCCCCTCCGTGGTAAAAGACAAAACGCCATGGTAAGCAGGACGCCTTCCGAATGGGAGCCGGTCAAGGGCGGTGTACCCCGTGGCACTATTGCGGGTCCCCCATTTATCTTGTTAATGTCGGCGAACGACATGACTACTTAGGTCTTCGACATTACTGTTTACAGATGTAAAAATCTGGAGAACAATAAGAAGCAAGGCTGTTCACTTCGATCTGCTAGCTTACATATAAGAACTCGTTAGATGAACTCAATTTTACGTCCAATATACATTTGTTTAACCGTATCAGGTACAAGAGATTCTAAAAAACGCACGCATATGATTAGTATACATTGTATCGCTTGTCATAGTAGTGCAGACGGTGTCTGAATTCAAATTAAAGTTTGCAATCAAGTAATCATTCAAGACACGGCCACAGAGAAAGCGCCGGTCGACAACGAATGTTCTGTTTATCTCATTGGTAATTCAGTACTCATAGTGGCATCATTATTATAATTCAACTGGATATTAAACATGTTATCAAACTTTGTGATACTATTATTTGTATTGCCGTTAATTAAACACAAGCTTTAAAAATAGCAGAAATATGAGATTCACTGTCTATTTGAGACTTTCGAGTGGAGATGGCAAATGTTTCCTTTGCATATGTGTTCAGAATACTTCGGTTCCACTGAGCTTACTCGGTATATGGCGAAAGGTAACTAAAAACAATTTTACAATAATTTAATTTCTGATGCTGTTAAATTTGTCTGCACAAGGTCTTTTACTCTGTGATAAAGATTTATTGGAAAAATTGTATTACTAAAAAGGATTTTGATATGACGCACTTATATATATATATATATATATATATATATATATATATATATATATATATATATATATATATATATATATGGTCTGGTGAACAATTAAAAGAGCCAAAATAAAGATTACAGTAAGGTTTGCTGCACATTTACAAGGGTTTTGCGAGTATTTCTCATGATGATTTTCAAACGACCTAAACTGGTATATTCTATGGAAGGACATCATCGACCTGTGGGAAAAACATCTAAGTTTAAATTGGCTGAAAGTGCGGATAAAAACCGTTTAACTTTCATCACTAACAGTCAACTTTCAGTGCTTTACTGATGGATCAATCAGCCTCATGGATCTCACTCTTTTTGTGTTAGCGTATGATTATGTTGAAGACAGTAGATCACCAAAGTAAGCAATCTGTGTGGATGATCGTGAGCCTACTCAAATTGGGCAGAAGCGGTGTGATATCCTAGCCTATCTTGAAGTCAAACCTTGCGGTTACCACCTAAAGTGGGTCACCCTTTAGTTAAACACAGGCACTGTGACCACTTTGATGACTGTATAGTACAAACATACTGTATTGCAGAAAAGTATTGGTAAGAACAGATACAAGAAACATAATGTGACCATTGTCGTACGCGCTTACCGGTAAGATCCGATTCGTTGATGCGTGTTGCTTGTCCTTGTCCGTGACGAAGGTTGGTAGATTGTTCGACATTCAGTGACGTTCCACTAGCCCCTGCAAGACTTTTTTGATAACGTTTATCTTGAGCGTATGAAGTACTTGACATGCTGCAGAAATATTTTGCTAGAATTTGATAATATTATGCAAACTCACACAAGCTTTCGCTCTCAAATTATGGCCGATAAAGCTCATATTTATGTGAACAGCTTAAAGATAAATGTTATTGTGAGGTGACTCACTTGCAACTCAACAGATAAGCGATGGCTAGTAGTGTTCAGATTTACAGAATTCATTCATACCCTTCACTCCGAACCAATCACAATACATATTTGATGCTGTTCATAAAGTAAAGTAATTAAGTTTTGGTGAGCTTATACCATCCTGGTTACTTAAAAATTATAGATGGTTTTTAAAAAGCCAGTTTGTCAAATAATCTTATTTATTGTTTTGTATCATGTATAGATTGTTATAAAAGCTTTAACTGTAATTTTATGTGATTTATAATGGTTAAAAAGTTACATTTGGAATGGACTTGTTATCCAACTTCATTGTTATTATTCTAATTCATTTTTTTCATCATGGGATAAGATTTATTTAGTTTAAATAAACGTTTTAAACAGAGATACTCGTATTCCGTGAGATAAAAAGTTATTTAGTGTCACACGCTTTACTTTTTGTCTTTGACCATTTCACATGGAATTTGCTTTGAGTGAAAAATTTAAAACAAGATTCTAAACGAAACCAAAAATCATAATAAGGAAGAGGGTACAAAGTCCGGTGTTGAATGCCGTTACTTTTGATGAGTACCGATTTGTCTTTTCAACACAAAAATGCATTAGTATTAGTTATATTTTGTATTATTCGTTGGTTCTCTTATTAGTTCTAGAAATAATCATAACCTAATCCCTAAAATCAAATAAAATCAACGAATTTATTGATTCTAGTAATAAAACTTCGGTGATATTTATCCCCACTTTAACTTCACTAACTCAAAACTTTTAATTGTTCACGAGTGATTGTATTGAAATATGAAAATTTAAAGAGTTTTCACTTGATGGTTGTCATCAAAATAAAATGAATTTATTCTATTTTGTAGAACGCTTTTACCTGTTTTTGTTCAATTCTATCAAAAAGCAAGTTTTGTAGGGTACTATTTACTGATTCCGGCATCAAAATGTTAGGATCTTGTTGCTTTGCATGGTTGGTCTGAAAATAAAATATTCACTTCAGTAGTGCTTAAAAGTATCCTGTAAAACCTTGTGAAATATCCTTTTCGTTTGATTTTACCATGACTTATAAAGTCTGTAAGACATATGAATGACCTTAAATCACCTTCCTTTTGTTCCAGAAATCCACTATTCGCTCAGACATTTTGTTTGTGACAAAACTAATTTAATTTGAGTAAAACTTTATGTAATCAGCCGTGTTTTTTAACATCTTTAAAAACCTGCAACGTGGCAATAAAATATGAATTTGAAAGAGCAATAACTCAATTTCTCTTACAAACTAAACAATGCATATCAGCGTGGCTGTAGTCTAAAAATATTTTGTGTTTCCTCAAAATAAGCCCACAGACATAAACTGTTTTGCCTTAATGGTCAAAAGTAAGATAATCAGCATTCAACAATATACTGACTTTGAAATCTGATTTGAAGTCTATGTCTTTTTGTAAGCATTTTGTTTTTGTTGACGAATACCTTTCAGATTGGAGAAGCTGAGTTTATTTGTACAGTTAATCCAGGGGAAAAAATGACAGTGGTACTGGAATCAAACTATTTACGTGTAGAAGCTCATTTAGGAGAGGCAAAATTCCATCACATTGAGGTACCCGAAGATGGTCAGTCGGTAGCTAAAACAATAAAATGCCAAATGCTGCAAATGGCAGAAATAAACAACTCACCTTTTGGAAAACTTATTATTGGGAAATATGCCAGTAACTCTATCTTCCAAACAATTTTTGAAATCAAACTGGATCTAGTAAGATTATTACTTTTGTAATCTTTGTATATTAGATAGATTTACATTTGTTCTGAACAGGTTTCATCCTAATACCTGTGGATACTTAAAAATCTCTATTCTCCCTACGGATAGTTAATTATTACTTCAAATACTTGCATTCATAGCCTATGGACCTTTTTCTTCATATTCCATGAATATCAATATTCATTGCTGGGGTAGTTGGAACATACGCTACGTTTCGCCAGTCACCACCCGCCTAGACGAGAGGTGTTTTCTGGTGAGGAAAGTGGTGAGAAGTGTTTGCAGTGTAGCGTTCGTTCATAAAATCACTGACTGTTAGTTTTAACCATGCTGACACATAAGTATCACCTGGCTAGTCTGCATGGTGACCACGAACAGTGACTGAAGACAGGGTAATGTGGTTCAAAATCATTTAAAATATTCCAGGTCCATTCAATCCATATCTCCATCGAGATCTTGAATTCTTGCATTACTTAATATATACCATTCCACTCTATCTTTTTGAACTTCGTTCTTGATCCCCACTATTTTTCAATTATATTTTTGCCACGTAGTTTTGATCACTTTCACCACCAAATTCGGTTATTTTATCTTGTCATAATAGCCTGATATGGCAACTTGAGCCAACACGTATCCGTGCCATAATTTACGTCAGTGATGGTTAAATGATTGACTGACTACCTGTAGCACTGTGTTATGCATTATACCCTTACACAGACGTGCCTTTAAGCCGACTGTGCTTGTAAATCGTTTTTACTTTATAGCAAGGAGATAAAAATAAACATGTGTTTAAATGAATTTATCTCATCTGTACATATCATTAGGACTAAATAATCTGTTTGGAAGCCAGTATTTAAAGACTCAGGAGCTACGTAGTTTGGTTTCTAGTCTATGGCTCAACTAAATATACTTAATGAGCAAAACTTGCTATCATAGCTGGCGCTGAACTGTGTTGAAACCATTTGTTGGCAGCAAAAAAATCTGAGTTCGTATGACATAAAATATAAAGGCTCAGCCCACATTGAACAAACAGCTAGCCCCTATTTTTACTGTAGTTTGGCTATTTAGTAATTTGCATATGTTCACTGGCTTTATGAAATGAACTGATGAATACTTAATAAGAATGTACATTTTCAAGTGGTTTCTTACTGATATACTTACCATTTTTCCACTATTTCACTTGTATTTTTCTTCAAAGCAGAATTTTGAACGCTCTTTTTTAAAAAGAGGAAGTTTGTGGACTGTAGAAAGCCTCTATGACCTGGCATGTAAGTTATTACTCGCAAATTAAAAATAAAAATACTTTAATTGATAGTTATTTCGTCATGATTTAGGATTACAGTAAAAGCTTTACGATAGTTTGCAGGTTTTGGTTGCAAATATTGGAAAAAAAACAAGGGAAGAACTGTCTATTATTTTACCATTTCCAACTATTCTTTACTCAATGTTAGCATTTTAAAAAATGATCTGAAAACACATTTATTCAAACTGAATCAGGTGTATGCTCCAAAACAATCGCATTTGATTTAATCGTTCGTTTTTTCATGAAAAATAATAAGTGGTAACAGAGAATGTTGGTGATGATTCAAACAAAACTAGAAACAATACATAATTACAAGCAAACAACATACAATACAATATCACTGTTTTCTGATCACAGATTTCTTGAGACGTGTTTAAGTATTCTTTTAGATATTTGTTCTTCAGTTTTATGTGTTAAACACTAAACAATCAACCTACCAGTACAATTTTTGAGTTACCGATTCGTGATTTCAATAGTTTTATTATGCAGTCAGATTATGCTTTGTGTATTTGTCGTCTGTTGTTAGTTTATAAAGGTGTTACAATTTGATTCTAAATTATATATATATATATATATATATATATATATATATATATATATATATATATAGTGCTTCTTTAATTGATATCAACAATTGTTATAAATTATCTTTAAATTGTACGTAAATCTTACTACTTCAAGTCCTGAGAATAAAACTGTTCTTTAATTTCTCTTTGGATGTCACATAGTACTGTACGGATACTTTCATTCACCATTCAGATGGCATCGTTTTGCAGAGTTACTTGGTTTTACTTCAAAGGAAATCCATGAAATAAATGAAACACTCTCACAATTTGAATACTATGATGATGATTCAACTGTATCACAATCAAGTTTAATGACACCTCGAAGAATATTTTGCTTACTACTATCTAAGTTTCAAAAGCTTGGTGGATGCTTATCTCAAGTTGCAAGTATCCTCCATTCAGCCTCACGAGATAAAAATAAGATTCCTGATAATCTATCACAATCGAACAAATACTTTGAAGATTTTAAAATGTTTTCAGATTGTTATCACCATAATCATCCAATGTCTGACACATACTTTAATAGTGAGGAGTCCTCTGTTTCGGAGCGAATTTGTCAGTCTCAAAGTGAGTCGACTATTTTCTTTATTCGTAGTTGAATCAATGTAAAATTATATGCAGTAATTATATCGTTCATGGGTATTTTGTATTTTTTGTGTCGACAAGGAAACATAACTATATGCGTAAATATCAGCTGACCTAAATTGGTCTAAGTGTTACCTAGATATGGCTTATCAACCCAGAATTACTATTCGATAGAGTCCACATTACTGTCGTAATACAGATTTAAAGACTTAAGGTGACATGACAGATATATCCATTCCTTATCATGACATTTAATAGTATGTCGTGCATTTCATATATATAACCTATTGCTATCTGTGTTGTTTTGATTTCGTTTTGCCTTTTAGTTCAGTAATTTTCTCACTTACTATGCATATTAATAAATGTAGTAAATCGGCTCTATATATGTGTAAATCAAAGCATACACTCCTTATCGACTATTTGATTAACTGCGAACTGCCTGTTTTTCCATGTTCTTTTTTTGTTCATATTAATCTTATGATTGATGCAAATTCAAAGTAAATTAAATGATACTTAATAAGTAATCATCAAGTTTTAACATGTTAATTTTTCATATATATATATATATATATGCAGGATATTCATGAGAAGAAAAATAAGTTACTGTACAACTCAATAGAATATATATGATTCTGTTTACTTGATCGAACCACGTGATCATAGAGAACTATAGTTTATAGGAACTGTTAATAGTATCATTATTATTACACTGGGTATTATTATTGTTTTCATTATTGTTAACGTTAGAGCTAAACAGGTTTCCACTTGTTGAAAGGTCATTTATGGCAGTGATATATCTTGTTATTTTCTCTATCACGTGTTGAACAGCTACATACATTAATCATCCATCTCTTCAAAACATTCATTATTATTATTATTATTATTATTATTATTATTATTATTATTATTAGTGTGATATTTCACTTGCTTATAATAATCTAAATAATTCTAATTTCATACACCAACTCATAATAGAAATGTTATAGTAATTTTGAAGTATGCCAAATTCAATAATACAAATATTCCTGGATTAATTTTTCTAAACAAGTTTTTAAAAAAAATATAAACATGTTGTATCCATGTTAGTGATTGTCATATTTATTTAATTCGTTTATTTTAATACTAATTAATAGGTCATTAATTATTTTGTATTGTGTTTTTATTCTTTTTTTTTCTTATTTTTTTTATTAATCAAAAAGAAAAAAATAATAATAAAGCAGCCAAATTTATGTTTGTTTACTCACATGAAATATATAACTATTCATATAATTTATACAATATGTTCTATATAAAACACAATCTTATTTCTAAGCTTTATTCATTTCAATAATGACATGTTCATTATGTTCATTCTACAATGAATAAATGAAATGGGATTGGTTAAAATTTTCATATTGTTAGTTATAAATGACTCATCATGTTTATATCAAAAAAGATTTCGTTTAAATAATTAAACAAGATCCCGCCTCGCAGGATTCGAACCCAGGACCTATCAGTCTGAAGTGCGGGCGTTTAAACACTAGACCACTGAACTGGCCTGGATTCAACGATGTTAATGTTTAACTTCAACTAATTCATGAAATTGAGCGACACATTCACCATTGTCATCAGTGAGTTACTATTTCACAAGAGACCTGGTTGAACTCCACTGGTCACTACTTCTCATTAGAACTCTAGGATATACTTCTTGAAGCCAGTCACTAGTGAGGATATGTTTATTAATATCAGAAGGGGTTTTGTGGATATTATAGTAATTTCAATAGTTGAGATCATGAGTCAGTTCGAGTCTTGCGAGACGGGATCGTGTATGCGCACTGCTGAGGAGTCCCACAACAGGACAAAATGGCCGTCCAGTGCTTTCAGGTTTTCCATAGTGGTCTAGCTTCAACTGACTCATGATTTCAACCATTAAAATTACTAAAATATCCACAAAACCTTTTCTGATATTAAATAATTATCGTTTATTATTATAAATATGATATTACTGAAAATAAATATAGGAATATATAATGTGATGTAAAAAGGTGAAATTCAACTCCTCAATTAATCAAAGATTCTACTTATACTATAAGGTATATAGTACAACTTTTGGCAGAAAATTTTTGATAATAATAAATCATTTATCCTCTATGACGATAGTCGTTATTATTATTAAATGATTATCATTAAACCGTTTTCCAGAAGACTTGGGGAATATAAGATATCAAGTAAATTTGGGTTCCAGTATTGATCAGCCAATTCACATAACTATAAAACAAGGAATCAGTATTTATTTTACTTGATTCAGTCAGTAATGGTCATTTTTGTGTGAACGAAGTATCAGGAGTAACTCTCTACACAAATTGCGGTTTTACGGTATCCAATTCACGGTAGTTTTACAGTGGGGAAACAAGTTAACAGTGTGGATAGATGGATCACAACTGGGTCGAACAACCGTATCATTATTGTCATGAAGCACAATGTTCCTTATTAAATCCTGGATGTTCGTTATCAAATAGTTCAAAACAAAGGCTGAACACCTGTCTCACACAGTTGGATGTCGACTCAGTTGTTTAGAGGCTAAGCATTCGCGCACGGGATCGAAGGTCTCGGGTTCGGGTCCCAAGTGCAGGATCCTGGGTGTGCACCGCTGAGGAGTTCCATAATAAAACGATAGTGGTCTAACTTATATCGCTATATGATTCTAATGAAAATCTCCACAACCTCTCACTGGCACTCCCTGAATTTCAATGTTCCTTCAGTTGACATCAGTCGATGATGAAATCAAACTGAAGTTGAATTTCTATGGTATATTACCAGAACATAACAATTTAAAAGTGATGCGATTTGGTAACAAATCCAATAACATGTACCAGAGTATGAATCATACAATTTTTCACCTTCATTAGGGTATATGTGAATCTGTTTTCAACATTAGTACCTACTGGTTATAAGTCTGTTGTTTAAGCCACTAAGATCCAATCATTATAAATATAGATGATACTTATTTAATCAGCTGGAAATTGTTAACTTTTGAACTACAATACGGTTTTATTTTTATATTTTAACTGTGTTGATCCTAACTTTTGATTCTTCGATCACATTAAATCCATTTAAATTGTATTTGACATAATTTCCTCTCATTTATCTTAAAGTCGACTGACTGATTAAGTTCGTAAGATTAATGTATTCATCATGGAATACTAATTTAGTTTCGTTAAATACTATACAATATAACTCTTCTGTTCCAATATGATAAATTAATTGACAGCGGTTATTTTGTTATAATCAGTACAAAGAAATTATGTCATAAATTTTCATGTTTTTTGCACATATCAAAATAATTTTTTATATCATTGTAAACAAGCATAATTACTGTTCTTGTCACGTATAATTTTAGTAATAATATCAATTATTAGTGCTTAGGTTACGTAATCCGTTAACATCTGTCTAATCTTTAAATGTTTCTCATTCTCATCTTACATGCTATATATATATATATATACATAACATATACACATACAAACATAACATAACATAAATGTCTCTTAGTTGTGTTGACAACTCAACTTATTTACCAAAACACTGACCTGATTTTTATTCCATTTCATTAAATTTTTAGTTGCTCATTTAATTTGTATTAAACTGATAAAATAACATATAATCGACTATAAACATAATTTGAACGTTTCATTTAACCAGTAATGTTAATCTTTACTTCTAACAAATTCTGATGAATTGATTCAGTATCTATGTAAGTGAGTAAACCTGCAGGTTAACTTCAAAGTTATTATTTAGATTCAATGTTCATAAACAATGATTTATCTTGAAAAAATCTATAGTAAACTCCTATTGAGTTCTAGTTTGATTACATTGAAATTTTTAATATCATAGCAGCTATGTGACAATATGTGTTCTAGTTTGTTCTTGACAATAATATTTATTTGTTATTTTAAGTTGGTGAATAATTAATTCTATAAAATACCTATTATTGTAAATGTATCCGTTCAAATCCAACCATATGATGTGTAGGTTAGTTAATCATTCAACCGGTCATTATTATAGCCAATGGAAATAATTGAGTAGTAGCCAAAATTATGTTGTTTGTTTCTAATTAATGGTCAAATTTTATGAATCAAGTTGCAATGTTAAAGTGTGGACTCGATGTCATAGGGAACATAGTGTTGATGTCTAGTTGTTGGAATGATGAGTAATGGTTTTATGTGATATTCACTTCATCGTGATCTTTGTTTTGCAGTTGTTGTACTTCTCTTTCTACTCAGTTGTCTGGATTTAGAAAAAGGACTTTGAAGACAATTTAAGCATGGTGTCAAAAATTAAGGTTTTAATAGGAGATATAAAGATACTGTTAAAGTGTAAATGGAGTTGTAGATACTCTAACTAACTCCTCAAACGTCTAAAATGAGTGAACTCGGAGAGAATCAGCTTCCTCATGACCGTACATACATCCCTCCAAAGAGTGTTAGCTAATACGAAACCTAGGTCAAACGTTTCCTACAAACCACCTGCTACCATCTTACATAAGAACACCGAGTTACCTCTTTATCCAAAAGTCAGAGCTTTCAGTTAGTTTCTAATTTATGTAAATTTGGGATAAAAATATCTTCAAGCTTGGAGTCTTAATTTTAGAGAAAACCAGCCTGATGCCACAAATATCTAGCCTAAAGAGTTTGATAATTCATACTGAGTGTTACATGTGTGCTTAGTTTCATTTAACCTGTAGAAATATGTTTCTATATGAAAGAGCAAAAGCGTTTTTGACTCACTTCTAACCGCTAATAAATGATGTTTAATTCAATAATGCTGTATGGTGTGATTCTTGTGAAGAAAAGAAGACGGAGTTCGGTTAAGCTTACCAATTCCTAAATCCATGAGAAGTGTGTTAAGACTAATGCGACGTAATATAACGATAACTGACTGTGTTAATCTAGGTAGCTTCTAATTGTTATCTAGTCATCGATATATAATTTCCGTTCTCTTTTAAAAAATATCATAATGTTCTAATTCTAACTGTTTTCCCGCTTTAATTCTGTTCTATTATCGCAGAAATAACTCATGGTATCTGTCATCTGAACCAATCGAATCACAATATAACTTTTCCTACTACTGAACAATATAATCATGTTGAAACACAATATGCAAGTGGAGACGATCATTATCAGCCTAAACAAATTATGAATGAATCAAAAAGAAAGATATTTAGAAATGGTAGTCTAGATAGAATGATGAGCTTGAAAAAACCATGGTCAAGACATGTTAGACGAAGAAATAGCTTGCCCACGACTGGTCAATCAAATGATCCTGATCACATTACTACACTACCCACTTTTAAACTGGCAAAAGAGTTTGATAATTTTGTAGAATTTGGTACACCTATCAAACGTGCCTCGTCTTATCTGAATTCAGATGAAGAAATATCTCAAATTACACCACATAAAAAACAATGTACAAATAATAATAATAATATTGAAATCCGACAACAAAAGTATGAACCTATTCGTAAACCTAAAATTGTAACAAAACGTCGAGTTGATAAGAATTTACTTCGACAGCGTAGATCAAATCAAGCCTTACTACCTAATCTATGGCATCCTTCGATATCTTCAACAACGGACAAAACAACTGAACATATATTAAATGTTGTACAGGCAAAAATCGAAGAAACCAAACGAGAAACTGAAGCAATTCACAAGAATGTCATATCATTTTTGGAAAAAATACAATCTCCTGTTAAAAATATACCAAATTTCACTGGATGTGATCAGAAAACCAAAGAAACCAATTCGTTATTTCTTTTTTCAGATAGATCTATCCAAGATAATGATATATGGAATATTATTCACTTATGTAATAGTACTAATGCACCGAATTGGAAAATCTGGCTCAAAATATGTCATCCTACTTATAATGAACTGAATTCCTTCGATCAAAACTGGTCGAAAGTTTTGAAATTTAGTCAAATTGATCCACGTTACACATCTTACCTTATTTTATTAAACTGGATAGAAATTAATTCGAATCCCAAAACGAACATTAAACCAACTTACATGAATTTATTTAAACAATTGATTAATGAAGGTTATAATGAGTTTGTGATTTTATGTAAACAAAAGCTTTTCAATAATTATTCACGTAAACGAAATTTTATTAGTTAATTCATTTTCTCTTTTACTTATCTTGTAAATGAACATTTTCTGTGATATTTATCTTGTTAATTTTAACAAACCATTCTTTTATCTACATAATAATTATTTACTACTTAATAGTAGTATATCTGCATATATGTATTAAACTTCATTTTTGTACAAGATTTTGTAAATAGATCAATTTTTTTTTTACCGCGAACGTTTTTCTTAGCATCGCTTGCTAATCTTTGTAAATATTGCTAATCTATATACAAAAGTATGAACTCACCACTCAGCTACTTTCGTTCCGTGTACAGTAAACCATTAACCTGTTCTTGTTAGTTGATAGATTAGTATTAGACACTGATTTGTATTACTTTTGTAACAAATCAATTGATAGTGCATACAATCAGTTCAGAGTTTCTGTCGAAATCCTAAACCTTAAATAATAGTAAAAAAATTGCAATAGCTACCTTCTGTGAAACAAGTAAAGATTTTGGTATATATATATCACTTAATGTATAGCTTATTTACACATTTCACCATTGTATAAATGGATTGAATCTTAGTGACGTACATTAGATTGCACACGGTCAATTGTTTAAAGAACAAATACAAATCACCCTTTTTACCACTAGATTTTTGGCTAAAACTATGTGTTCATACTCTATGGGTAAAGAACGATTAAACTTATCATGTCGTAATTAATCGTTCACTTACCGTTTTATGATATTTTAATCCGATAAATTCGTTTATCAAACATTATAAAATGAATTGAAATTTCGATATAAGAAGAGGTTATTCTCTGAGCAATGTAATATTTCACTGTTGATCAAAGTGTCATTCTCCACGCAACTATACATTATTAGGTATTTATTCCCAAAAACCTCTATAATTCATTAGAAGTCATTCTGGAATTGAGCACACATAACTCTTCAGTAATATAAAGTTTTAAGATGTAACTTCACCGTTCGTTACTAAGCTAAAAAAGCTATAGCATTTGAGTTCACTCTTACTTACTTACTTACATTACTTACGCCTGTTACTCCCAATGGAGCATAGGCCGCCGACCAGCATTCTCCAACCCACTCTTTCCTAAGCCTTCTTTTCTAGTTCCATCCAATTCTTGTTCATTTTTCTCATGTCGATTTCCATTTCTCGGCGTAATGTGTTCTTTGGTCTTCCTCTTTTCCTTTGGACTTCAGGATTCCATGTGAGGGCTTGTCTTGTGACACAGTTGGGTGCTTTCGTCAATGTGTAGCCTATCCACTTTCAGCACTTCTTCCTGATCTCTTCCTCCACTGAGATCTAGTTTGCTCTCCCACAATAGGTTGTTGCTGATCGTGTCTGGCCAACGGATCCGAAGTATTTTGCTTAGACAATTGTTAATAAACACTTGTATCTTCTGGATGACGGATTTCGTAGTTCTCCAGGTTGCCGCCCCAGTAGACAGTAGAACTGTCTTGACATTTGTATTGAAAATCCTTACCTTGGTGTTGGTTGACAGTTGTTTTGAGTTCCAGATTTCCTTCAGTTGTAAATATGCTGCTCTTGCTTTGCTGGTCCGCGCCTTCATATCTGCGTCAGATCCACCATGTTCATCAATGATGCTGCCCACATATGTAAAGGTTTTTACATCTTCCAAATCTTCTCGGTCAATTGTGACTGGATTGGTGCATGCTGTGTTGTATCGGAGAATCCTGCTTTTCCCGTTGTGTATATTGAGACCTACTGCTGCTGAGGCTGCTGCCACACTGTTCGTCTTCTCCTGCATTTGTTGTTGTGTTTGGGATAGAAGGGTCAGATTATCTGCGAAGTCTAGATCGTTCGGTTGCATCCTAGATGTCCATTGTATCCCGCGCTTTCCTTCGGACGTTGACGTTTTCATGATCCAGTCGATCACCAGGAGAAAGAGAAAGGGTGAGAGTAAGCAACCTTGCCTGACACCGGTATTCACTTCGAACGACTTTGTCAACTGTCCTCCATGCACAATTTTGCAGTGTAATCCATCATATGAGTTCTGTATGATATTGACTATCTTCTGAAGCACGCCGTAGTGTCGAAGAAGTTTCCATAGTGTTGTTCTGTCCACCCTATCAAATGCTTTTTCGTTGTCAATGAAGTTGATGTAGAGCGATGAATTCCATTCAATTGATTGTTCCACAATTATCCGTAGAGTTGCGATTTGGTCTGTACACGATCTATCCTTACGGAATCCTGCCTGTTGGTCTCGAAGTTGGTCGACTACGCAGTCCTTCATTCTGTTTGACAATACCCTGTTGAAGACTTTTTCCGGTATTGAGAGAAGAGTGATGCCCCTGTAGTTATCACAGTTGCTGAGATCGTCTTTCTTCGGTATTTTGATCAGAAGTCCTTCTTTCCAGTCTGTTGGTACTTGTTCCTCATCCCAAATCTTATTGAAGAGTATGTGGAGTATCCTTGCAGTTGCCGCTACGTCTGCTTTTAGTGCCTCTGCTGGGATGTTGTCCGCTCCTGCTGCTTTTCCACTCTTGATTTGTGTAATGGTCATGCTGATTTCTTCAATTGTTGGTGGGTCAACATTGATTCGGAGGTCCGTGGGTGCTGCTTCGATGTTGGGTGGGTTCAGTGGAGCTGGTCGATTCAGGAGTTCTTTGAAGTGTTCTACCCACCTGTTTTGTTGCTCTTTAATGCTGGTGATTACCTCACCTTCCTTACTTTTCACTGGTCGTTCTGGTTTGCGGCGATTTTCAGAGAGTTTCTTTGTCGTGTCATACAGTTGTCTCATGTTTCCTTCCCTTGCAGCCTTTTCCGCCGTCGTTGCTAAATCTTCTACATATCTACGTTTGTCAGTTCTGATGCTCCTCTTCACTTGTTTGTTTACCTCTGTGTATTCAGCTTGTGCCTTGGCTTTTCCTGCTCTTGTTCGACTGGTCTTGATTGCTGCTTTCCTGTTCCTCCTTTCTTGAATCTTATCCAGTGTATCAACAGTGATCCATTCCTTGTAATGGTGCTTCTTGTGACCCAGGACCTCATGACATGTTGAAGTGATTGCCTTTTTGATCCCCTTCCAATTCCTCTCCATAGTACTTCCTTCTCCAATGAGTAGATCATGAAAGGCCTGGAACTTATTGCTGAGGACTATCTTGAATTTGTTGAGTTTGTTAGTATCCTGAAGAAAGGCCGTATTGAACTTTTGTGATATTGTCCGCCCCATTGCCCAGTGCTTCTTGAGTTTCAATTTCATCTTGGCGACCAGCAAGTGATGATCTGATGCTATATCAGCTCCTCTCTTGGTTCTCACGTCCTCTATAGTCCTCCTGAACGTTTTGTTGATGCAAATATGGTCGACTTGGTTTTGTGTAGAGTGATCCGGTGAAGTCCATGTGGTTTTGTGTATGCGTTTGTGTGAGAATATAGTGCCGCCTATGACTAGTTTATTGAAGGCACATAGGTTTGCAAATCTATCACCATTTTCGTTCCTTTCTCCCAGTCTGTGTCATCCGATGATATCTTCATATCCGCTGTTGTCCATTCCAACCTTGGCATTGAGGTCTCCCATCAGAATGGTCAGATCCTTTGTTGGGCACTTCTCGATGATTGACTGCAGCCTATTGTAGAATTGATCTTTAGCGTCTTCATTGTAGTCGTTGGTAGGCGCATAGGATTGGATGACGTTCATTGAAATGCCCTCTTTCTTTGTTTTGAAGGAGGCTTTGATGATCCTTGTTCCATGAGATTCCCATCCTATAAGCGCATTTTGCGCTTGTTTAGACAGCATCAATGCAACTCCTTGTGTATGTGGTGCATTTTCTTCTTCATGACCGGAGTATAACAGGAGCTTTCCTGTAGTTAGTCGTTGTTGTCCAACTTGTGTCCAATGTGTTTCACTGATCCCAAGTACCTCTAGGTTGTATCTTCTCATTTCCGCAGCAATTTGGAAGGCTCTCCCGGTGTCCCACATTGTACGAACATTCCATGTACCTAAATAAATGGTCGCTTTAGTTGTCAGAAGGGGCATCGTCCTCGTAACTTCCGAAGGAATTCGGCTTTCATCATGAGGCGTCATAATTCTTCTAAATGAAGACCTTCTGACTCCCAGGGCAGAGTTTAAAAGCTTTGAATAATTTTTTCTGGTTAGCGTTTTTTCAGCGAGTTATTTTTCTACGGGATGGAGACGCTAACCTCATGCCCAACCCTCCTCCTTTATCCGGGCTTGGGACCGGCAGTAGCCCCCGGAGGGACTTCAGGCGGAGTTCGAGTTCACTCTCCTATAACATATTTTGTGTTGATATTCAATATTGTTAAATAGAATTCTGAACTCTTGTAAAATATGACTGTTTTAATTTGTTTATAAAGAGTAACTTCGTTTGTAATGAGTTTCAACAGGACTGTAGGTCTCAGCGGTTATCCTGAAATAAATAACTGGAAATAGTGATTATTCTTGATCTTTCAAAGACTAAAGTCTATTATTATTTTCACATATGTAATACTTTTTGCACGTATTTATCTGTACTGTGATCTCAACTGATTCTACATTGAGTTCTTCTAGTTTAAATTCAATTAAAAGGACAAAAGGTCATTTTTTCAAGCATAAAATTTCATTTTTGATGACTGGCTATGTTTAAAATTCTTATGCTTTTACTAATAATCTAATATCCTATTTAGATTCGTACTTTTTTTTAGCTCATAACAGTGAAGTTTATGTTTGTCCACAAGCCTTAGTTCAATGCAAAACTCAAGATGAGAATCTAACACTACTAACTGTTTTCCAATTAACTCATCATATTAGTAAGTTAGTTCTCTAATACTGACAATGTACTTAGGATCCAGTTGATATCTAAGTAATAAGTCAAGACTTGAGTGTTGTTCACCGTACCTTTAATAGTTCTTATCACTTCTACATGTGCACAAAATGTATTTAAATGCGATATTTAAAGAAAAAGCATTTTAGAGATAACAACAAATATTGAAGAAAGGATGACACTATACTTTTGTAGCGAATGACTATTCAGTCGTTGTATGTATCTGACAGAATGTGTAACTCAATC